CATTCTCCTCTTGGAAGCCCAAATGAACAAATGCTCCTAGCAGCAATACTGACAGCCATATCAGGCACAAAATAAAGCTGTAAGTACTGGCACAAAATGCAAGAAGTTGCCACTCTGCCAGCCTCAAACCTTTGAAAATCAAGTTAGAAAGAATAACATAAATACTACAGTATCTTAATTTGGGGTTTTGATACGATATTTTCTATAAATTTGCACATCACAAATAATAACATTCAAAATTGCCTTTCAGTCGCAATTTATCACCATGCCTATTTAGGACATCTCAATAGTAGCTTATCAAAGTTGCTTATTCTTTTTGGTAGTTCAAAAAAACTAAACAACCCCCCACCCCAACAAAAAAAACCCCACTAGTAAATCTGGCCTTAAGAATTCTACAAGTAAAATAAAAATACGTTAAAATTAATTAAATACAATACGAAAGATGCAAGTTTTAGTGTGCAGTCTTACGTTGTGGTTATTAATGGTCTTTTCCCAACACCTCTACAATCTAATCAACTGTCTCTATTCTAATTGGAGGATAGATTTTTTTAAGCCATCATAAAAGTGCTGTACCTGACTGGATTATACTACAGTAAAATCCAGTCAACATATGTACTGATCATGTTTGTATAGGATAGGTAGGTAGGGTAAAACCATAATTATGTATGCATTAATAAAAAAAAATTATTTAACACACATATTATAAGTTTCATAAAAAGGTTGAATTTAAGCCAAAGATTTTATACTGAATTGTAATACTCTGCATTTCGCATCCCTCATTAAGTGGATGCTGACATGCATATGCTTATGCCACTAACAACCTGAGGGTGAGGACACTAAGTAACACAGCATGAAAATTGAAATTACACCAGACCAAACAAACATAAAATGCATTAAACAGTTCTATGAATTTGAATACAGCACTAATACATACTCTATATTGCCAAAACTATTTGCTCCTCTGCCTTCACATGCACATAAACTTAAACATCCCATTCTTAATTCATAAGTTTAGTATGATGTTGGCCCACCTTTTCAGCCTGCAACAGCTTCCACTGATCTGGGAAGGTTTCGCACAAGGTTTTAGTGTGTTTATGGGATTTTTATGGGGTTTGCTTTGTGCACTGGTGCACACAGTCATGTTGGAACGTGAAATTGTACAAAATATCTTGGTATGCTAGTAAGAGTACTAACAGTTGGTTTCACTGGAACTACGGTGCTGAGCCCAACTCACTCTGGTTGCAGCATGCTTTACACTAACGCTTGGATGCAGCTGAGAAAACTACTAGATGTAGTCAATCAACATCACTAACAAGAAGTTAAAAGGCCTTTGCCTTGTCAGGTTTGTTGAACTGCATAAGCAGGGTCTCTCGCAGTGCACCATCGCTGCTGGATGTGGGATGCAGTCAGGACAGTCAAGACAGTCATTTGGAATTTCTTAAATGATCCTGAGGGTTATGGAACAAAAAAGACAAGTGGAAGACCCCAAAAGGTTTCACCAGCACTGAGCCAGAGGATCCAACTGGCTGTCCGTCAAGACACTGGACGACCCTCAACCCAAATTAAGGCCATTACTGATGCCAACTGCAGCCCCATAACAATCAGACGGCATCTGAGACTGAAGGGCTTCAAAGACCTCGTCTCCTTGAACACCACAGAACTGACCGTTTGGACTTTGTAAGAGAGCATCAAACATGGGACAATGAAAGGTGGGAGAAAGTTTTATTCTGTGATGAGAATGTTTTCTATGCGCCACAGTGGAGGAGGCACCATAATGGGGTGCTTTTTCCTTCAGTGGAACAATGGAGCTTCAGGAGGTGCAGGGGCATCAAACGGCTGCTGGCTATGTCCAGATGCTGCAGAGAGCATCCCTCGTGGGCCCTTGTTTGCATGGTAACAACTGGGTTTTTCAACAAGACAATGCTACAGTGCACAATGCCCGCAGGACAAGGCACTTCTTCCCGTGATCTAAATCCAAATGAGAACCTTTCGGGATGGATGGCAACGGAAGTTTACGAAAATGGACAACAGTTCCAGACAATAGATGCCTTTCGTGTGGACATCTTCATCACTTGGAGAAATGTTCCCAGTCACCTCATGGAAAGGCTTGCATCAAGCATGCCACAACAAATTTTTGAAGTGATCAAAAACAATAATGGTGGAGCTACTCACTACTGAGTTCATGTTTGGAACTTTCATTTATGTTTTGGGGGGTTTACAGTTTTTTTGGAGGTGTGGTCCTAAACTTTTCATCTGCTGTAAAACGGCCTGTTTCAGCTAAAGCATTGTTTTCAAACAATTGTATGCTCAGAAAAATGTTTTGTCTCAGTCCCACTTCTTCTTGTTGCATGTTGAAGCTCTACTTGGAACATTTTTAAGGTCCAAACATGCAAAATATGATTTTTGCCCGTTTTCAAGTGGTATTAAACTTTGAGCCTGTATTAATACCTTTTACCTTAAGTGGATCTGATAAAACCCCAAATAAATTCAAACTTGTGTACCCAAGTTAAAAATGTAAAAATATTAAACTTCATCCCCTCTCTGAGCTTTAGCACTGCATCTCCAATCTCTCTACAGCCAAAATAACTTTCACTTTCAGAACTTGTGATCAGTGAACAGTTCCCCACAGGGTGTGAGATGTGCAGCTTCTTTCAACTTGCGAAACTGCAGCTATCTACTACAGCTGCTGTCTGGCACATCCTTCAGTTATGAAGGGCATCTCTGAAATTACATGTACAGTTTGTTGGCTTTGCAGCTGATGGCACAGCTGCTGTGCTGAGCTGATAGAGTGCGTGAAAAGACAGAGTGAAAAGATCATCTCTAACTTGACCGTCATTCCCGCCGTCAATTACCTGCAATCCATAAGTCTGTAAAACACATTACAGAGCTGCATCATTTTCACGTATTTATGACTTTTAATCTGAAAGGTTTGCTGCTGATCTCAGTAAACATGATCGAGTTTTATCCCTCCCTGTCCAGAGATTTGCAAATATGAGTTAAAGAGAAGCGGTGAAGTGCAGAGGATGCTATGTGGGAAAACAGAAAAAGTCCATCCTAAAAGCAGACTGTTGTCTTAGGAATGCAGAGGAATATTTATCTATCATTTTATAAATACACAGCATTTTATACCGTTGCATTTTTACATGATTTCACACACACACACACACACCACACACAACACACACACACACACACACACACACACACACACACACACACACACACACACGTAACACATTACAACATACCTGTAAATGTTGTTATATGTTAGAGTTCTGAAGTCGTTTAGTTTAAGTTCATATTATTCTATAACATTACACTGACAGCAGCAACAAATAGATAAATAGTCTAATAGGCTTGAGAGTATACAGGACCGCTCAGTTAGTGAAGTATTTTATATAATTATTATTTAAAAGTATCCCACTTCTTGACCTATGGCAGCTGCTATGGGCTCCAGATAGCCCGATCCTGAGTTGGATAGGCGGAAGAGAACAGAAGAATGGATGGATTATGTAAAAACTGTAGAACTGCTGCAACTTCATGCCACATTGGTAGCTATTTTTTTCTAACAGGATAAAAGGGTTGCAAACGTATTGCACTAAACAAAAATCTCCAAAGGATGTTGTGATGTTCCTGTTTAAAGACAGACTCAACTCTGTTTATCTGAACAGTGCAGCGCATTTGACGTGAGGGCTGTCAGTCTGTAGCTGCACTTCAGAGCAAAGAATACTGCTCTTTTTTTTCAGCATTTTGACAAATCATTGTAAATACTTTAACACTTTCTATCACTTTAATTCAGCCGCCTGGTTCTAAACATTTTTCTGTCATAAGACAAGCTCAGAGCACACATTTATAACTGCTTCACACCCACTAGCATTTTTCGGTCTTTGCCTAATAAACCAGATGTTTGCAAGGAATCCACCTAATGACTTATCCTACTATCACAGGAAATACAATCACTTGAAGATACTCACACGGGCAGCGGAGTGGACATCGCACTGATTACTTTTTTATTATACTACAATAAGTACATTAAACTAATTTTTCATAGTGTGCTTAGTGTTTCCTATGCTCTTGCAGGGGGAAAGGTATAACAGCCACACAGTTTACCACAGTGCAGTGCAACATAAAACAGAACACATAGTCTTAAGTTTGCAGGGCTTCTGTAAGTCTGAATATGTGCCAAGCACTTTGTACCAAGCACCTTCAGCATGTTATGATAAAAACAAAAATTTCTTACTATTACATTTATACAGTTCATGATAGTAGTTGTTTACATCAGTGGTGCTTACCATGCTAGCATCAATGATCTGTCCTTTCCCTGACTTTGTCCTCTCCAGCAGCGCCAGGACAATCCCCAGAGCGCACGTAAGACCACCGCCTCCAAAGTCTGCTAACAGATTCAGTGGAGCGTAAGGCTTCTCGCCGCTGCGACCCAGCCGGGATAAAAGGCCTATGACAGGAATGAAAAAGTAGAAGCTTTACGCAGAAAAACAAGTATTGTTGAGCTCAGTGAAAACAAAAGAGCCACAACAAACAGCAATGCATGAAAGATATTTAGTGGTGCGCAAGTGAACATAACTCCTTCAAAGGGTTTATTTTTCTTCTAGTCTGTCAAATCCATTGCTGGCATTGCTAAAGCAGCATGTAACCTTTGCTTTGTATTTTTTCCCTCCTTTTGCTTTTCCTGTAACAAAGGAATAGCATAAAAGGACCTTGGGGCACCGACTTAGCTTACTGGGATGAGGCGACGACCATATGCTGTATAGCACAGCGTGGCCGGCCCGGGTTCATATCTGACCCGTGGCCCTATAATAAGGCCAAAAGAAAATCGTTTCTGTTGTTTTCTCACAAAGTACCATATAAAACCATATTTTTGGCTCGGCTTACATTGATGTCATCATTCCCTTTAATCCTTTATAAACATGGATAGTTTGGCTTGGTGTGCTGCAAAATAAAGCCCAAACAGACTATCAAAACTTGTTATCTAGACCTTTAAAATGCATCCTTGTAAGTGTAAATGTATGTATAAAATATTTCACCTCCTTTGCTGAAACTAAAATGATATTATTAGGAAACCACTAATGGGCTAATTATAACAGAAATGTGTTCTTGAACAGAGTTTTAGGGTGACTGCAAAGACTCTCTGAAAAAAATAAAATAAAATAATGCTGCAGTTAGTGAGTACAATTTATTACCCAGCATCTGGCCATGAAAGTGCAAGAGGCCATGCAGATGGCCTTTTTTCGTTTCGTAAAGACACCAAACGTAGGTGAAAGAGAGGGGAATGTGTGTGGGGGTTAAATGCTTTTTAATATATTTTCAAAAATCCATCAAGTTCATCTGGTATAACCGGTGCCAACTGATTGATATCAACAATATGAATAAAAGAAATATCTAGAACCTCTTCTAAAATTCTCATTAATGCTTTAACAAGACTGAACAAGAACCCTTTAATAAAGCAGTAAATCCTGCTTTATTAAAGGTTTCTTGGGGCTTGTTTAATTGGAGGCACAACTAGAAAGTACGTTTACATTATCAGACCTCATTTGGGAGTTTGTAGTCATACGCCCGCTTGTCCTTTTAATAGATAGACATGCTCAACTGCTCATTAACACAAATATCTGAGTGAGAGCATGTAAGAATGTATGTACGCTAGTCTGCTGAAATGCAAGCTCTGCTCCAATTACACCTTACGATGCCCAAGTATAGCGACAATAAAGGAATCTTTACCTTTATCTATCTGATCAGCCAATAACAATTGAGTGTATTTCGGCATGCAGACATGATCAACACAACCACCACGACATCAGAATGGGGAGGAAAAGTGATCAAAGTGGCTTTGAATGTGATATGATTTAGTTCCGAGATGTGCAAGTCTATATTTCAGAAACTCTTGATCTACTGGGATTTTCCCACACAACCATCTCTAGGCTTTACAGTGAATGGCCAGAAAAGGTCCCTGCCTCCGGTTCTTCTGGTGAGATGCCGACATCTTTATGAGTGACTTAAACCCAATCCCACTGTTCTCAGAGATTCACACAATACACTCTTGCTAAGATTTTAATTTTTTTAGGGTTATCCCAACCTCAAATTATCAAGTTCATGAAGGCTCCCTTGTCATTTCAAACCCTTTTATTCAAACCCTGTGTCAGTCTGTAGTCCTTCACACAGTTTATAGCGCTGCCATGAAGTTTTAAAATGGGAACTGGGAATGTGAGTACATACCTTTTTATATATGAATTTTAAGTTTGAAGAAATGGTTCTAACTACACTGTTTTGTTTAAAAAACGAAACAAGGAAACAGTTTAATCACAAAGCCAGAGAAGGATAAAAAAGCCCTTGTGGTTGTTAAGGTAACGCCACATGGTAGGTAAGAAAATGTTAACATTTCTATTTAAAGAATTTTGAAATGATGCTATTTAAATATGTTGGTGTTTAATGGATTGGCCCATATTCTCTCAGTGTATCCTGGTTCTGCTGCAAAACACCTCACCTTGGAAGTGACCAGGAAGCATCCTAGATCAGTGCTTAAACCACCTTAACTGGCTTCTTTTTTTAAACATGAAGGAACATTGAGCCCATTTCTAACTGTGAGATGCAGACACCCTTAAAAGGGCCTGTTTTCACAGCTCATATGCACACGTAAAAGAAGGATAAAATAAATGTCAATTAATAATAAATACATATAAATATTTGATGAAGTCTGCAGTCTTATGAGTCTAAAATTTTGATCTGAAAGCATTAACAGTTGTGTTACCTGACATGGCAGTGTAGTTGATGTCATGCCCAGCTACGGTGGCATAAGATCCACTCTGACCATATCCAGTCAAGCGAGCGTAGATCAGCCGAGGGTTTTCCTTTAATAGCTCATGTGGACCAAGGTCAAGTTTCTCCATAACACCTGGGCAGTCAAAATTAAGTCCACATGTAAATTTAATCACACATTACCTTTTCTGTTTCTGCTACTGCTTATGTTGGTTTTCAAAGACTTTCATATTCCTACGTGGCTTGTCACCTTATGTAAACCCTTTGAAGACACATAAGAGTCAATGGCATTTAAAAATTAAGAATCTTCTATGTGTAAAAAAATAAGAGTATAATAAAACACAAAGTTTTTTTATATAACTCAAAGAGTTATATAAAAAAACTAAGTATATCCTACTTACATTAGGATATATAGTTTTCTTTCCCTAAATTGCCAACTTGTTATGCAAGTGAATTTATAAGAATTAAGTTGTTTTTAAACATTATAATTACTTAAGTAATTCTGTACATAAGTACAATAATGTTGTAGAGAGCAAGACTCCTTGCTGGCACTATTGTGCTGCAGGTCTCACCTTTGCGATACGGCTCCAGGACCACATCAGACTTTATGCAGAGCTTCCTGAGCAAAGCTATACCCTCCGTGGTCTTCAAGTTGATGGCCACAGATCGTTTCCCCCGCGCTTGTGTGTCCAAAGACGTAGGAACTTTGGTCCGGTCCACACGGATCACCTTGGCACCAAAGTCTGCCAGGATCATGCCGCAGAAGGGTGCGGGTGCCAGGCCTGCCAGCTCAATAACTCTAACCCCAGCCAGTGCCATGATTAAAGGACTATAGGATCAAATAACAGAAACTTCTTTCAGTTTAATGCAATCCAATGCAACACCAATAGCAGTAGTTGGGGGGGATGGGGTGGGGAGGCTAATATCAGAGCCTGTGATGTTAGGAGAAATTTAAGTTTAGCTGACAAAAATCTGTTCAGACACACATACAGTCTAAAAGTCTGCCAGTCTATGTCAAAGTGTTTGCAAGAATATGTAGTTCATATAACAGTACATGTCTCCAGAACAGCAGTTTTCCATGATGACTCACCGACAAACACACTCAAACTGAGATGAAAACAATAACAGCAACACTGTACTGGCTGTAATGAGGAACCTTTAGCACTAACTGTAAGTGCAGCTTCATTTCTGGACTCAGTGCCAGAAATGGTACGGTCTGATTATGCCCTGCAGCTCAAAGTGGGTGTCACATTGTGACAGAGGAGAAAAAGCTGTTAATAACAGCACAGTAGCAGCCCCATTCCTGGACCGGTAACATCAGTTGATGTGATCTCATTTCTATGTTGCTCATGACCTGCAATCACATGATCTTTTATTATTGTGCCTACATTTTGTGGGAAAGACAGAGAAAGGGGGCCCATTTTATGCTTTGCACATCCGTCAAACATCTAAATTGATGCTGTGGTCATGCTGCAACACAGCAACATAATTTTTTTTCTTTTTAGGATGGAAAGCTTTGCAGCGCATCAAAGGGAAACACACAGGCAACCGGGACAAATCTCTGAAAGTGCAATTTCGGGTGAAAAATCCTTGGGCGACAAACCTTCTGTTTAAGGGGAATGAGGTCGACCTTGGGAAGAGTGAGAAATCAAAAAACAGATTTCAAAGCCACATCGCATCAGAGGATCCTTAGAACACTACTCTCTGTGTGAATGCTATTGGCAATGGAGCCAGACTGTGTTAAGAGGCAATAACACACAGCTTCAACACTGTACCTGAGCTGTACTGTAATGTGAATTTGCCTGAAGATAAACAAAATAGAGAGTTTTCTTATGGCAGACAGTTTATATATGAAATGAAAGAAACACGCATTTTGGTTTATTTAAACATTGGTAATCCAAAGACGAAGACAAATTTGAAGAGAGTTCAGAGGGATGGATGATGCTCATTCAACAGAAATACTCATATTATGAGTGTTGATATTGCATCAACCAGAGCTCTGGAACTTCTCTATTGGGACAATAAAACAGTTTAATTTATACTGCACTGTCATATTAGCTTAATAAGGACTCATAAATAATTACATGTAGCTGCTATGTTTTCTGAAAGAAAAAAATGATCAGACTTTTACTAAATATCAGCTTCAATATTGGTCTTAAAAGTCCTATATTGGTTCTACTGCGTATCTGCGGACTTTCTTAAATGACCTACCCAAGGTTAAGTGTAAAATTGGTGAGGTTTTAATGTGGTTGGTCTGCTGAAAACAAACCAAGAAAAACTGGATCTGCTACTATTAAGGACATTGCTGTTGTGAAAAAGCAATCAGTGCCAGAGTGACTGCCACAGTCAGTGGAAGTGGAAGTGATTGGGAGCAACAGCAACTCAGCAAAAAAGTGGAAGGCCACCTAAAATCACAGAGAGCAGTCAGTGGATGCTGAGGTGCATAGAAGTAGCCAGGTTTCTCCAACTTCCTGAATCAATCACAACAGGCCTCCAAACTTCACATGGCCTTCAGATTAGCTCAACACCATTGCATAGAGAGCTTCATGGTATCGGTTTCCATGGCTGAGCAACTGTATCCAAGCCTTAAATCGCCAAGCGCAATCCAAAGTCAAGTCAAGTATCAAGTACTTGACTTGACTTTGGATTGGTGTAAAACATGCTGCACTGTGTGGGGACTTGGACTTAGCTCCTTCCTGTTCCAACAAAACTGTACATCAGTCCACAAAGCAGGTTCCACAATGCCATTGGAGGTACAAGTTTGAGTGAACGCTGCCGCGACTTGCTGCCACTACTCACCGATATCCTTTTATCTTTTTATATATATTTTTCGACATATCTTTTTTTCGAATGAGTTTGGTGTGGACGAAATTGACTGACCTGCAGAGACCTGACCTCAACCTGACAGAGCACCTTTATAGCTGCAAAAGGTGGGCCAACATATTTTAAACCCCATGGTTTTTGAATAAGATGTTACTCAACTTCATATGCATGTGAAGGCAGACAAGCAAATACTTTTGGCAAGTAGTGTAGGGTATACGGACAGACTATTTTCTGTTTCAATGTTTCCTACGCATACACCATGTATATAGTTCACTCACACATATATGTATAAAAATATATTGCTTTTTATTTATTTATTTATTTTCCCCTCATTGTATATTGTTTTCCCTTCTTTACTTTTGCACCTTGTGGTCCAGCTGCCCAATTTCGCTGTGCAAGAAACTGTACAATGACAATAAAACTCTCTAAGTCTCTAAGTATAACATATACATGTAAATATGTATTATAGTAAAAACATAAGATGGATGTCTGTGCAGGTCCTCAGTCATCCAGGTCATAGTAGATGTTCATCTTTTTGACCAAGAGAAATTGTTTAAGAAAAGGATAAAGGAGGCTGTCTACATCCACTCTGAATGACCGTCACTAAGCAGACACTAACTATCACCCACCTACAATGCAGTCTTGAGATCCCTCCCCAGTCACAATTTGACCCATGTGCCCCTAATAGCTTACATTGTGGCAGAGGGTAATTCACACCTTGAATTATCCTGGGGTATCCACAATAGTGAGTTAATGAACCAGGGTCATTAAGAATCTCCAATAGTTGTTTCAGAACTAAAGAACAAGAAAGTCCCGTTGTCTTCTTTTCAAGCACCCAAGACTACCAGAAGAGGACAAACTAAACCACAGTTGAAATACCCTTCCTGGTGGTCTGCAGCGACAGAGACGTTTAAACTTTAGACTTTGAAACTGGACCTGAGTATTTTATTCAAAGGTCAAAGTGACATCCATTATCAGTGAGTGCAACCATGCACACTACAGTACACAAATGTCCACAGACAGTATAAGATTCTACTTTTATACTGAAATCCTTTCTTTCCGTTACTTTATACTGTCTATGGCACCATGCACACGTAGCTCCGTTTAGTACCCAAGTAACGACACTACACTGCCAACAAACTCAATGCTTTTGAGCCAATCACTGACTGCAGTTTGGCCCAAAACGGGCTATTTCTCGGTTACGTTATGCGTCATGAACAGTCGAAGCAACAAGGGGAGGCTACAGCACCACAAGTGGAGCACATCTTCACACTGCGTCCGACACTTTGTATAGCACTAAGGAGCAGTTTGGCTTACTTTCAAGGAGAAGACAAGACACCTCTGCTGAAGCTGCGTGCACGGGGCGCCTGAGCAGACTGACGTTACAGTGACCGCTGGATATGTCTGAAACACTTTGGGGTGAATCACGTGTGTACTAAACAACAACTACATGCTTACGACATAACAGTAACAAACTTAAGAAAGAAACACACACGAAACAGTCATACCAAACCGCTCATAACTGTCATAGAGTTAGCTAAATGTATAAAAAGTAATTCTGGCCAAATTACACAGGTGTAACCAACAGGCTGTATAAAACCCAACTCTCACTCAAATATACCGTCCTCCAAGCCTCCTGCTCGTCCTCACCTGTTCAGCTAAAAAGATGTTTTTTTGTTCAGAAGAGGTTCAAACGAAGTAAACAACTCCGAAGGAGTTCACTGGGGAGCTAGTTTTAATAGAGTGGTTAACTCCGCCTAGCCGGGCTGCTTGCGGTGTACGCCGGTGAATAATTAGCGAACACCGTCTGTTGTGAAGAAGCAGCTTCCTGGTGACCTCAGAGAGACAACTGCTAGGTTTTCTGGGAATTGTAGTCCACGTGTCGCTAACGTGTAGGGTAATTTTAAGTGAGTGACTGAATGAAAGAGCATTCAACTCCACAAAATAAAATATGTAAAGACAAAATATTATTTATTTCCATCGTTAAAGGTTATTCTTAGTATATAACAACTTACCTTAGGTTTAAAGACAGTATTCTGAACAAGCTCAGAAAGAAAGCTCAGATTTAAAATGATTGATAATATAAGACAAACATCACACAAACAATGACTTTAGCATTTAGAAGCTGAAATTAATTAATTTTGCTGCATCACTTTGGGTAATTAGTATTGTTAATGTATTTAGGTTTTGCTGTTTTTTGTTTCGCATCATAATACACACGGTACACCAATCATTCATCCTTAATTTTGATCTATCTGTCTATCGATCTATCCTGTTGAATACTTTTTGTTTTGTTTTTGTTTTATTTTAAAAAGAAAGAATAAAACTCTTCTGGGAATTCTGATATGTTAAGCCTTGAACCAGATGGGCTACAGTACCAGAAGACCACACCAGGTATGGTATCAGCTAAATCAGCTAAACATAAAGATTGAGGCTATAAGTCACACAGGTTCACCAAAATTGGATAATCGAAGACTAGAAAATTGCCTGATAAGTCTCAAATTCACTAAATACCATGAAAGCCTGGATCCATCCTGCCTCATGTCAAAGGTTCAAGACAGGCTTGTTGTGGTGGCGATCGTGGTTCAGGGGGTTGGGAAGCTCATCTTGTAACCGGAAGGTTCCCAGTTCGATCCCCAGCTCTGTCTGTCTTGGTCGTTGTTTCCTTGGGCAAGCCCAACTGTAGGTCGCTTCCACCATTGTGTGAATGAATAGTGGAATTTTAATGTAAAGCACTTTGAGGGTCTCAAAAAGTGCTATATAAATGCAATCCATTATGGTGTAATGATCTGGGGAGTATTTTCAACCAACTGAGCTATCATTTAAACACCAGAGCCTAGCTGTATATTGGTGCCCACCATGTTAATCATCCTTTTATAACCACAGTTTACCCATTTTCTGACAGCTGTATGTGTAGCATAACATGTTAATATGGACTAAAATCCCTGAGAAATGTTTCCGGATCTGTTGGATCTGTTCCACGAAGAGTTAAAGCAATTCTAAAGGCAAAAGTAAGTCTACCCTAGCACTACCAAGCTTTACCTAATTAGTGAGTGTACTTCATTTGTGGTCAGCTGTTGGCAGCAGTAAGGTAATAACCGGTCATCTTTTGAGTTGGTGTGCAAAGATGCAAACATTTATTTGAATAAAGTAATTTTTCAAACTGTTGCTTATGGATTGATTATAGCATGATTGGTCATCTTTCAGCTCTCATCTTCAACATGAGCATTTTTGTGAGTAATTTTGTCATTTTCTATATAGTACAAAGTACAGCTTAGGTTTAAAGGCATTTTGACAAACAAGAAGAGTAAGCTAACAGCAATGCAAACAATCCACATGATGAGCTCACGGACCTCACACCCACCCTAACTTTAATTCAGTGTGAAAATAATAAAGGCCCTGTGTTAGAAGAAGTGATGGTGTGGTTTTCTTCCACTGCTCCTCTAGTATGACCCACTACCAGTAGTTAACAGTGAGGAAGGCCACACACACACCAGAGCAATTTTCTGAGCTCACATATAGTCTGTGCTGGCGAAATCCAAACATTACTTTCATTCTTTTTGTTGTCTCACTCCTTATTCTCCAATGGCATACTTAATCTACAGCATTTAAATTCAACACAAGAAAAAAGAAATCATAAAAGAAAAGTGCACCAGAGCAGCAAATAGTAGCTGAAAACCCTGTGAAATTATTTTGCATTTATTGTGTTTTGGAAAGGCCTTCATGGGAAATGGTTTGACTCAATTTAGCCACTTTTAATCGATTATTGGTCTGATATTTCACCACCTGCAGTTAATACCAGATGCATCAAACAACAAATGTGCTACTTTTGTTTATTAACCTGTTAAATTACATTCCCCAGAAGCCAGCACTTAAGTTATTCACTATTTCTCGTTCAATGAAAGAGAAGAAGTCATAATTTCTTTCAAATTATCTCTCAGACATACACCATGTGCTCCTTCAGGATGCACTTTGAGATGATGTTAAACATCCTCGTTTCAATGTCACTGACAGTGAGGTCATTAGTTTTTTTTCTTTGATTCTTTTTCCATGTGTTTTCTGCTTTTATCGGTATATTCTGTTCATCTGTACTTTGTTTTTTCCCATTTTTTAAAATCTAAAATCTTTATATATCTTCAGCACATGTGCACCCCATACCATCAGTGATGAAGGCTTTTGACAGTTCATGTACAGTTCATTTAACCACAGAACAGTTTTACTTCTCAGTCTATTTAAAATGAGCTCTGGCTCAGAGAAGTCAGCTGTGTTTCTGGTTCACATATGGCTTCTTCCTTGCATCTCATTTCAGTCTTTTCCCTTGGACACAGAGATTTCTCCAAATTCTCTGATTCTTTTGAAATAATTTTCTGTTGAGGAAGATTATTCGGAAATTGTTCCACAATTTGTATACAGTTTTTGAAGATCAGTGGTGAAACTCAGCCCATTTTGGCTTCTGACAAACTGTTGCCTACCTAAGATGCTCTTTTTGTACCCGGTCATGTTACTGACATGTTGGCAGCTGACCTAGTTAGTTGCAAATTGTTCATATATCCGTCAATTTTTAATGTCACCTACTTTTCCAGCCTTTTGTTGCCACAGTCTCAGTGTTTTTAAGAGGTTGGTGCCATCAAATTCAAAATCAGCAAGTATTTTCCATCAAATACTGAAATTTCTCACTTTAAACATTTCATATGTTTTCCACGTTCCAGTTTGTGTTGTATAAAGTTTCAGCAAAGCCTTTCGTTCCTCGTTTGGCTCTTGACAAAGGCGGACACACTTTTCTCCCTCTCCCTTTCCCTTATCTTTCCTGCTTGGCTTCTCATGTCCTTGTCTATGTATCACAGATTTTTACTGCCCCTAATAATAGTTGTAGTTAACACAATATAACACACCTTTTAGCTATTATTATATTATTATATTTTCAAAATGTTTTTTCAGTACCTGTAATTTAAATGTGTCTGTCTTTAAAGCACCATGAGTCAAAATCTGTTTTAAACATGTTATATAAATAAAACAGACTTCACAGCCAACAAAAAAGTATTCAGAGATTTTTCACAAATGAACTGGAATTATTTCCAATTAATTTCCAAGAAATAAATCAACAAAAATAGATAGCAAAGGAGTATGGAGTATCAGTGTTGGTGTCGATACTATCATATTTTGATCTATTCACCCGCTTTTACCCAACACATTTTACCAGCCAAGGAACAGACAGGGAGAGAAATAGGAATGGAGACAAGAGGAGGTCAGGTAACATGAAGTAAGAGTGAAAAAAAGGTTGAGCACCAAGTTACCAACGCACAGCTGACTGGTGAATAGTGAAGAGTTCAGCTGGCTTTTTATCCACAGAAGATAATAACCTAATGAGTACACCTCCTCAGCACCTCGTGGGTGAGGTGTTCCGGACATGTCCCACCGGGAGGAGGGCCTGGGGCAGGCCCAGGACATGCTGGAGAGATTATATCTCTCAGCTGGCCTGGAAATGCCTTGGTTTTCCGCCTGACAAGCTGAAAGGGGGAGGTGGCTGGGGAGAGGGAGGTCTGGGCTTCTCTGCTTAGGCTGCTGCCCCGCGACCCGGCCCCAGATAAGCGGAAGAAGATGGATGATGTCTTATTTAATTCCTTCTGTAATTTAGATCCAACGACTTAAGTGCTGAAACTGTACATTTCATTCCATTTTCCATTGCAGCCAGCAGTTCCAAATTCACAGTGGTCTGTTACTTCAGATTACCAGTATAAACTGCTCTTGCAAACCTAGACTCTGGTCCTAGCTATGTATCTACAATGTCTTCATGTTTCTGGTTTGTTTTTTTAAGACTATGTTCAATTGTTCTTTCATCTATTTAATTTTTTTAATCCAAATGTGAATAAAATCTGTGCTTTTCACCAGTCTAAATAATGCATTGGATGAGTCAAACCAGCAGATCACGACAGATACTATAAAATGTAAAACGTAAATATGCCGCCCCACCAACACACACAGCTATTACCCGTTTGCTGCTTTTATTCATAAGATGAATTATTCTTGAATGAAGAGACATTGATTTGACACGAGTAAAAATATGGTTGATTGTGTTTATTGTTAGTCAAGAATAAGTTAAGTGAGGGTGAAAAAAGAAAAGAAAAATGATGAAGAAGGGAGGGGAGAAAGAAAAAATGAAGAGTGATGAAGAGGATGAGGAGAGATGGTAGGAGAGAAGAGGGGAGGTGAAAAGAAAGGGATATAAGGAAGAAAAGAGAAAGGAGGAGAGAAAACCCCAACAATCCCCTCTGAGCAAGCACTCGGCGATGGTGGATGGGAAAAACTCCCTTTAAAGGAAGAAACCTATTGCAGAACCAGGCTCAGGGAGGGTCACCTGCCTTGACTAGTTGGGGGGGTGAGGGGGAAAAAAGAAAAGAAAAAGGATGAAGAAGGGAGGGGAGAAAGAAAAAATGGAGAATGATGGAGAGGTGGAAGGAGAGAAAGGGCAAGAGGAGAGGTATAGGGGTGAGGAGATGAGAAAAGCGGTGGAGGAAGACCAGGCTATGCCGCCTTATGATCCAGTGTCTTTCCCTGCATTTTTTACAGTTGCTCTTTTTCCTGAAGAAGCTCTTGGTTTTTGTTGAAGCTGGTAGCTGTTCTGCTTCTTTTCTGTAATCAGTCTTACAATGCGCTGCTTAGCTTGATTAAACATTATTCCCCAGCCCTCATTTATGTTGGGCTGCTTCTGTTGGTTCACCAGCATTTAGTGTCCAGTTGTTTCTTCTCATGAAGCACTTGTGCATTTCTGTGCAGTGCTTCATTAATCTTTATTTGCAAGACATTTTGTTTCTTCATGTTGTGAAGTTTGCATTCCATGTCTTTCTCCTTTATGTCCTGCTGTTTCTTCTCTTGAAGAAGCTCTTGGTTTTTCTCCAGGGCTTCATCAAGCTGTACTTGCATCTCCTGCTTCTTTTTCTCAGCGTCTTGGAGATTCCCATGGAGCTCCTGAGTAACAGCTTGTGCTTGTTGAAGCTGGCAGGACATTGTTCTTAACTTATGGCTGTTCTGCTTCTTTTCTGTCATCAGGCTTGCAATGCGCTGCTGAGCTTGATTAAACATTATTTCCCAGCCCTCATTTATGATGTCCACGTTGGGCTGCTTCTGTTGGTTCATGAGACTTTCCTTGTGCCTTTCTTCCAAGTCTTTATTTTGGCCTTCCAGTTCTCTGTATTTAGTGTCCAATTGTTTATTCTCATGAACCATTTCTGCATTTCTGTGCAGTGCTTCATTAAGCTTTACTTGAAAGACATGTTGAATGAATTAGGCTAACTATTCACTTTAGCTAAAGTTATTAAGTTAGCTAAAGAGTTGGGATGCTGTGTAAGACATAAATAAAGCTAAAATACAAAGGTTTGGACACCGTTTTGCATGTTTCCCTACTGTAGGGGTCTCTGCAAGCATACAGAGGGGGTACTCTGAGAGGGTCCAAGATGACAACTTTGGAATTCTACTAGAAACAGTCGATCATATTTGTTTGTCAAAGCTGAATTCAGGGCAAACTACGCTAAATTAGCGTTTTTAGCTAACAGCTACAATAAGCATAAAGTTACTGTACGGCTATCATTTGTTAACATGACGCTTGTTCTTATACATGTAATACATTTATTACCAACCTGAGAGTTTATCCGCTGGTCATTCGACATGACGAATGACTTCTGAAGTCTTAATTCAGCTCAAGACGCTGTAGATTCCCGTCAGTAACACTTTCGGTCCGCTAGTAAAACGTAGTTCTATTAATCTGCGCTTGAACCGGAACCGGATGTAAGTTCCAAAAAACTGAATTTTGGAACTGAAATTGAATGGTGAGAAGTGAAACTGAAATTATTCGAGAGCTGAATTTTTAAAGGATAAAATGCAGTTTCAAAGCAAATCAATTCATTTTCAAAATATAAAATTCAATTTCAATTTAGTGATGATCATTTTCAAACCATAAATTCAATTTCAAATTAGACTAATTCAAATTCAGTTTTCAAAAGCATTTATTCAAGTTACAATTCAGATTCAATCTGAGCAATTCAAATTCAAATTTAACTTATTCAAATTCAGTTTCTGATGGCACAGATTTCTGCCCATACAAAACATCACTAGCACCAGTTGATATTTAGACTAATACTTGATAACTTAGCGCTAGCATGCTAGTTCAGCTGAAAAGCACGGGCAAACTTTTTAAATACTAAAAATGGTCACCTGCGTGTTTTGTAAAAGGATATTGGTCACATTAAGAGGGTGTGTACAGTGTTCTCTAGTTTATCGCGGGAGTTACGTTCTAAAAAATAACCCGCCATAGGTGAAACATAGCCAGCTTTATTTTTTACAATTATTATAGATGTTTTAAGGCTGTAAAACCATTCATTACACACTTTATACACTTTTCTCAGACAAGCATGGACATTTTCACACTTTTCTCTCTTGTTTAAACACTCTCAAAGTTCAAACCTTAGTAGAAAAATAAGTCCAGTATTATAGAATGGTTGTATGCATGTGTTTACAAAAAAGTAAGGAAAAAGTGTAGGAAGCATAAAGCATGTTCCCCAGATGGTATTGATGACATGTACAATCTCACCCTCAGCCCCCAAATGACAGTACAGATTATTAAGAAAACACACATAAAACCATGTTATCTGCTAGTTCAGCCAGTGATACGCCAGAGAATGATGGTCAGTCTTATCTCAGAAACATGTGTCTCTTTTACCTTAAACTGCAAGGACAGCTGCTAATTCCTGCCTCTATTATATAGACTACTTGGATTTGAAGGGGAAAAGGTCTTTCTGGACTACATGACTACAGTTGGTGTCAGCAAAACCAAGACGTTCCTTCAGACTGATGCAAGGCTTAAGAGGATACGGGGACCGCAGAGTGGCTGCTCAGATGAGGTGAAAGAGGTGGTCCTGCTTCTGTTCAGCTACTTTGAAGAGAAGGAGGAGTTTTCCATGTAGAAGATACATGTCTGGCAGATGAGGTGCAACTGGAGCAAGTGTCTCTGATACCCACTATTATTGTCTTTAGTAAGTCTTTTTCATAGCTCTCTCTCTTTTTTTAATTGCACTGTTTATAGAATGGCATGTACTGCAGTGCTTATTAATATAACCTGTTAAATAATTGGTTCACAGGACAGTCCTGCTATTCCTTAAGAAGATACATGCTGAGTCTTGATCGGAACCTAGTCAGCACAAACAAATCCTCATTCATTTCTGCATTGTGCATCATGTTCGAGAGCTACTACAATTTTAACATCCATTATCTGAGCTGGCTTTCACTCTGGAGGTGTCATGGTCCGGGTGTGTGCCAGTGTGTCTCCCTCCGAGCCGGCGTCTCCACCCTGGGGAGGGGCCTCAGTGTTTTTGCTTACACCTGTGGGTAATTTAGCCGGGGACTCATAAGGCCAGCGTACTCAATCTCTCTTCGCCAGATTCTCTGCTAACATCAGTCAGTGCAGGCCACCACCATCATTCCCTATGTATTTTGTGAATCACTTTGCCTCACTGTATGTTTGTTTTTTGTGCGCCTCTCTCTTAGTTACACCCAACTGTCAACCCCTGTCGAAGAGCACCTACTTGGATGCTGGACCATCTGGCAGTCCCACAGGCTATTACCCAAATTACCTACCTGCCTCTCTGCCTCCACGCCAGGAGTTTTTTGGATTTCACACCCGGACTACTCACCCCTCTACGTCATCTCCGACCTCTTTTGGCAAGTACGCAGTACGAAGGAGGATTCTGAACCAGCAACATATTCATATGTCTCCTTATCCGTATCTGAACATCTGCACTCTGTTACAGTGACCCCGACCTTTTCCTGGATCAAATGTGACTTGCTTTCCAGTCCAATCCCTGGAATAGCTGTCCTCTCTGACCCGGACCAGATCATTACTTAGTTTTAGTGGTGGAACGTCGTACTTGTCTACTCTCACCTTTTTGTTTATGAATATTTGTGGAAACATTAAACTTTATTTTTAAAATCTACTTACGAGCTGTTCGGCGTCCTGCGTTTGAGTCCTGTCACTCGTCCAAAACGGTCTCGGCCGTAACAGGAGGTTCTTCAAAGGTGAGCAAATATGTCTTTCTTATTTCTCAGACTGGAGAATCTCGCGTTACAACAATTGTGATTGAGACTCTGGGATCTGGAGTCTGGCTCTGAGGTGGCTGGAATCCAGGTCTGGCTCTGACTCTTGGCTGGGTTTGGACCCGGATTAAGACTGTTTTTATAAAATAATAGTCTGAATCTGGGTCCAAGCCTGGCTAAGACTCGGGGCCAGACGAAGACTCAGCTGACGTCTGACTATCTATAACCTTTGCGCTGGATTTTTAAAATGCAAAAGTGTGATTTATCACTGCAAAAGACAGCAAGACGCCAGCAAGGTGGAGGTGGAGTACTGGTTTGGGCTGGTATCATCAAAGATGAGCTTGTGGGCCTTTTCGGGTTGCAGGACTGGAGTCAAGCAGTGGTACAGGAAGAAGTCTGCATCCTTCAAGAAAAACATGATTTTCATGCAGGACAATGCTCCATCACACGCGTCCAAGTACTCCACAGCGTGGCTGGCAAGAAAGGGTATAAAAGAAGAAAAACTAATGACATGGCCACCTTGTTCACCTGATCTGAACCCCATTGAGAACCTGTGGTCCATCATCAAATGTGAGATTTACAAGGAGGGAAAACAGTACACCTCTCTGAACAGTGTCTGGGAGGCTGTGGTTGCTGCTGCACGCAATGTTGATGGTGAACAGATCAAAACACTGACAGAATCCATGGATGGCAGGCTTTTGAGTGTCCTTGCAAAGAAAGGTGGCTATATTGGTCGCTGATTTGTTTTTGTTTTGTTTTTGAATGTCAGAAATGTATATTTGTGAATGTGGAGATGTTATATTGGTTTCACTGGTAAAAATAAATAATTGAAATGGGTATATATTTGTTTTTTGTTAAGTTGCCTAATAATTATGCACAGTAATAGTCACCTGCACACACAGATATCCCCCTAAAATAGCTAAAACTAAAAACAAACTAAAAACTACTTCCAAAAACATTCAGCTTTGATATTAATGAGTTTTTTGGGTTCATTGAGAACATGGTTGTTGTTCAATAATAAAATTATTCCTCAAAAATACAACTTGCCTAATAATTCTGCACTCCCTGTATATTTGTACTTATTTTTTAACTGATCAATTAAAATGCTTAATAGCTTTTATATGATTTTATTCTACAGGTGTTTCTTCTCCATAAACCCAGAAAAAGGAACCAAAAAAGAAAACAAAAACTTGAAGCATCTTTCCAACAAGAACCCTCGAGTCCTCACCCTGTTTCAGGATCTCTCCGACCACGAGTGGCGTTAAGCCTGAATATTGACTCTTTGTGGACTGGTAGCTTTTACTTTGTTAAATCCACAATGTGTACTTGAAACTTTTTCTGGTCAAGAGTCCGCCACCTGCTTGTTTCATGAAAATGTTCTTGCTTTGAAGGAATGTTCCACAGCTTTGTTTGTTTTTTTGTTTTTCTATAGTGCTGTTACTGCAGTGTTTATAGGTTTGTTTCCCCACAGGTGGTTTCCTGATGTTTTGCTATGGTAACTACACATGTGTTTTCTATGACCAGGGCCATGGTTGTGACAGCAGAGTGCGTGTTGCGCAGGATGATGATTATGGTAATTTTCGCACTGTGGCCCTTTCTCAATATGCGTACTTGTGCGTACTTGCGTTCTCGTGTACTCGTGATACGTCATCAGTCGGAGACCAAGTACTGTTCCAATCCGAAGTACGCATCAAGCTGAGAACGCAAAAAATTCCCGGAGGTGTTCTCACTCCGCCCGTTTTATTGAGCATGCATCGGTGGTGACTTGTGTGGACTTGGTACAGCTAAATATCCCAGAATGCATTTCGCAAGACCTCTGTGAAAATGGCAGAGGAGAAGACGCATAATTGTAAGTTAAATACTACTATTGTTGTAATATGCAGTGCATTTTCAATGCATTTTTATGTGAGAATATAGTTATTTAAATTTCAAATATTTAGTAAATTTAACAGCACAGACCCCAATTAAAAATTTCCTATGCTGTTTTCGAAAGGGGCCTTGCCCGCCAAATAGCGAGCACAAGAGGTTCGGCATTTTGTTTTGAAATTTCCGCTTTCTCTAAAGGCTCTGATTTAAATCACTTTGGCAATTTTAATAGCCAGTCGTTCACACAAATCTTGTACTATCCTGTATAATGTTTAAAAACCTTAAGTTATTTTTACGTTTGTATCAACAGTAAGTTTTAATAAAGCACCTGATTGTTTTGTTGTCATTTTCCCCTACTTTTATTTGCTTGGATTGTTAATATATTAATGCAATATTTGATATTTTAATCAAGGGACAAGTGAGGAAACACAGGCTCTCATTGAGTGGCGGGCGGAAAATGAGAGTCTTTTTACAGGAAAGAGAAATTCCTGCAAGACTGGATGGGAGTAAGTACTGACTGCTTTTGCTGCTCCCTGTTTTCTAGGGAAGGATTAGAGGAGCAAATCTTATGATAACCAGCTATCGAAGTGACAGTGCAACATTCTTTTCTCTCAGGGACTTTGTTAGCTCTTCAGGCCTGGCCATAACAGTTAAGAAAGCACAAAAGAAATGGAACAATCTGACTTTGCCATTTAATAATAGAGTAATTGTATCTGTGATAATATAGACATTAATACATATTTTCAGGAGCTTAGGGACCCACCCACAGGCAAGGGAGTAGAGGAAGGTAGCCCGACTGCCGCCACCTGGCAGTGGTACAAAATGATGGATGCTGTGCTCCAGGGGCAGCACTCAATAAGTCCACCCCTGGTGGTTTCAGCAAACCTCACATCCACTGCAGGTGGTGCAGTCAGCACTCCAGCCTCGTCCCCTTCTACCGAAGTGTCGAGGAAGAGCCAGAGGAAGAGGCCCAGGGACAGCCAGGCTGTACTTCAGTTTCTAAAAGACCAGGCGGAAAGAGAGGAAGAGAGAGAGAGACAGGCGCTGGCTAGGGAGGAAGAGAGGGAGAGGGCAGCTACTGAAAGGGCAGACCGATCACTGCTGTTTGAAAAACTTGTCGAAAAATTTTAAATAAAGCAATTTAAATCTCAATAATGAAGTGAGGTTTTTGCTGCATGTGTAACAGAGAATCTCTTTAGTCAAAGTAAAACAGTTACAATAACTTTTAACATTGAATTCAACCTATACAACCGTGAGCACACAAGCAAATATACAAAAAAGAACACTAACTATTTACAAGCTGAACAAATAAAGATGTATTTTAACTAATTAACTTAACTAACTAACACTAATTTGAAAAACAAATATGATTTGAATTTACTTTTTTTTTTAACCAACAGGAGGCTTTTTCTTTTGGCCTTAGCTGCCTACATATCTGTTTGAGCATGACTACATCTTACAAATGAAACCTTTACCTAGATGTAGTCATGTTCAAACAGATATGCAGGCAGCTGTTCAGGAGCAGACAGTCGTGCAGCAAGCCTGGCTCGGATACAAGCTCCAGAAAGCTCCCTGTCCACGCCTGTGCATTCTGTTTCAGCGTCTGGTCCTGCTTGTGCCGCCTCCTCCTCGTCTCCTTCTTCTTGGCAGACGTAATCTGTTGCCACACAGATGTTGTGGAGGATGCAGCAAGCTCCCACAACTTTGGGAGCAAACAGAGGCCGGATCTCAAGGGCTCGCAAGAAAATGGATCGCCAGCGTGTTTTGAGGATGCCAAAGGTACGCTCTATGATGTTTCTGGCCTTGACGTGGTGCCTTTCTTCAACTTGAGCTTTAAAAGAAAGACAGTACACACTTTTATTCAGTGCTTAGTAGACTTTCAATTAGTGTAGGACATAGGTGTCAAACTCTGGCACGCGGGCCAAATTTGATATTATGATATTATGATATTATACACAGCAAATGCGACCTTTTCTCTAGATTTAGGAGTACATGCATAGAAACACCAGGATATTGATTGTTTTTTTAAAATGTACCAAGTCGAGAAGGCACGCCATCAAGGCACGTCTCCTCTCCCTCATCTTCATCCTGGCTCTTCTCTCCCAGATCCATCTTCTTAGTTGCGCTGCTTCGGTTTCAGCCTGAAGGTACAGAATGCCGGCAACAACTGCGACAACCACCCGATCCATTTTTCCTTTTTTCTCTTTTCCTTTTCTTATCTTTTTACTGACCAGATCAACCACTGATACCACAAACTATTCCCGCGATTATTTCCCGCCGGTGGCTCTTTATATAGGCGCACATCTTGCTATAGTGCAGGTAAAGTAGTTAATAAAAATATTTTTCATGTATTATTTTTTCAATGAAAACACAGAGTAACGTTTATATGTAATTTTATTTCATTCTTTATTGGTAGCGGAGCAGCCGATCCAGCCTGGTGATGTTAGCCTGACCTGTGACATCATCAACTACGCTGGTGTTCCCATTGTACAAATCACGAGTCCGTACTCCCGTGCGTTCTCGGCGAGTACCCGAGAACGCGAGTACGTACTCGCGTACTTGAGAATTGAGAAAGGGCCAATATGTCATTTTTGTTTTAACAGGTTACTATGTAACTTTTTTTGGTAGAGGGTCTGCCACATGCTTGTTTCATGAAGATGGTTCTTGCTTTGCGGGAATGTTCCACAGTTTTATAGCATTTTGATTCAATTGTGTGACTGTTGTGTAAGTTGGTTTTATTGATGATGGCTGCAAAATAAATTTCCCAAAAGTGATATTTTCCTCACTAGTCTTTTCTGAAGATGTATTTTTGCATGTTAGGTGTAGGCATAGCAGTAAGAAGTTTGCAGGTTTATGATTTAAACTTACACATTGAAACATGAAAATACAGCATAGTAATAGATTTTATGTATAATATGCAGAGCAGCTCCATTTAAAATGCACATTTCACAGTTGTTTTACCAGTTCAAATTAGTTTTTGTTTGATATTTCCCTGTTAAATTTACAAATTATGGATCCCCAATAAGCAATTATTACATGTAAAAATACAGGAAAAATTCTATGAGTATACAACAATTGTTGTGTGAATTTTTTTTTTTTTTTTGTAGATTTAACAGTTGTGAGTTTCCCAGCTGTGTGGTAACCCCAGCTGCCAGCTTTTTCCTGTAAAAACAGCACTTTAAAGAAGAAAAATAATGTTTTATTTCATGTATTTTGCGTTCATTTCATGCTAACTTGTAGCAACTTGTTTTTTGTTTTGTTTTTTAAAGAGGTGATATAGTATAATCTCCACAACAGTAACTTCCATTATTTTCTTTATTGTGATGGTAATATCAGGGTTAGAAAAGCTTTTCAGTAGGCTTATATCACTGGAAATATTGTGTATTAAATGAAACTATTACTGTTAATTTTAATGAAACACTTTTTTTCCAGTAATTCACATGTTGCATGTTGCAGTTTGGCTAGAAATGTTCTTTGTTCTTAACTATGAAGGATAAAGACCCGCTTTATCCATAATGTGAAAGCTTGTTGACTCTGCCTAAATATAGCAGAACATACTGTGATTTTTCACTCTCAGAGCAAATACACAGAGAATGAAAGGTCCTTTATACAATGCAGATGGATGCAGCTGGACATGAGGTTTAGACAAGATTTATGGGGATCATTTGAAAAATGCCAATTTTTATTAAAATTCAGGGAACTGCTTTATTGCAATATCATCTGCAATATTTCTTAAAGAGAAAGCAGAGCGGGGAAGAGGAATATTCCTCAAAGGAAAATGATTTATTTGCATTCAGCAGCCATTTAATATATGATTATAGTTTGTTGCTAATTTACTACTCAAGAGTGAACATATTTATACAGTGCAAAACCTTTCACCCAATTGTGTAATATCGCATCCGCTCTTGTATTATTGCCTGGGGATGAAAAATACGACTTTCTCCAAGAAGGTGCGTCAGCAGTTAACAGAGAACAGCAATCTGCACGGTTTCTGAATAGTGTTTTCTTCTTATTCATGCAGGTGCTGTGCTGCAGCCTAAACATCTGTGATTAAAGAGAAGCAGGTCGGAACTCTTTGCAGTCGGTACTTCAGAGTGGATATGCTGCCACTGGAGAGACAGAGTGGGAGAAAAAAACATGTTTTGTTTAATAAATGTCTCCCTCTGGGGTTATCTAACCTTGTCATTGAACACCGCACCTACATTCACAATCCAACCACCTGTGTACTAATTAACAACATGCATACATAGCACTGAACCTGAATTCTGTTGTTTTCATGTCAAATAATTGAAACTTAACCTTAGAGCAGCTACACGTCTATTTACCGTACTTGTAATATTGTTATCATGTTACCTTCATTTACCACCTACATTTATTCACATTCACACAGATAAAAATCACTAATCCAAATTTATCAGCTGCATTAGTAGCTAATTACAAATTGCACTTAAGTGATCTCTTGTTGTTATGCAAAATCTCAAACTCAAGCAGGGTTATCTGCGGCACAAAAGTAAAGCTTCAAATAAGGAAAGCCAAAGAGAAATAATGTGAATAAGATCTCTGATTGAGAGTTTGTGCTGCAATCAATGAAAACAAGTCAAAATAAAGAACTTCAAGTTGATGTTGCACTGTACATTCAGGCTATTGCTGCTCCTGGAGAAAGAAACCATGTTTTGTGCAATCTGTACTTTTTGGATTATAATACTCTTTTGCATCCATAACTGAGCTGCTCATCAATGCCATTACAAACCCTAACGAGGCTTTGCAGATTTCCATTTCAGAAAGCATGAAGCACGTGAGCCTGCAGCTGCTGCGGCCATGGATACAGTAATGGAAAGAGGAACCGGCACTTCCAAATTTTGAGAGGTGACTCCAACAATAACAATAAATTATCACCATAGTGCAGTAACCACTGTAACCAATGATTCATGTCTTAATGAAACTGGGTCTGAAAAAGACTTTTGCTTTTTCGTATGCTATGAAGGGGCCACAAACATGATTTTAATAAACAGCCTAATCTGCATTACAGGTCAGGCCAGCAGCGAGCAGAGACATGAATTCTGTTCAGTCACCGGGAGGCTTAAATTTTCAAATGTGTGTTATTTCATCCTTCACTGGGTGGAATACTTACAATGAGCTGCCTCAAGGATTTTCTGTGAGTTATGGAGATATCTTGGGATATCTGCGGGGTGTTTCCACATATCATGGTTTAATTACCTCAAAAGAAACATTAAGATTGTTGAATTTGTTTGTGAGACAAATTATTGTAAGGTTCAGTAACACAAATCATCAATTTATCTAATTTTTCTGTTGATTTAAATGGAAATATTTATCAGGGAAAAATACAATCCTGAATGCTGAAGTGCCTTATTTTTGTTTTTAATGATCATGTAATAGACACACCTGGGTGCACTGTTGCCAATAGGGCCATTCTGCTAACAGCAGCTCTTTCGATTTGAAAGACTGAATAGTCTGGCTGCACTTTCTTGAGGAATGTTCATCCAATTATCGCCACAGACCCACACACCTCACACAAAGAGGTAAATAACACTCCCACAGAGCAAAATGTTGTAGATTTGAACTACAGCTCAACAGCAGCTCGGGCATCATCATTTTGTCTTTGTTGTGAACAGACGCAGCATAATAGTGACTTTTGTTCAGGGGCTGGCAAAAGTTCTGTGAAAACCGGAGCAGATTTTGCAAAGAACGCCTCCCTGTCAGCCACCCTGCAAGTCAAGACGCTGGAGTTTAGATTCAGCTGATGTGATTATGTGACAGAAGAGTAAGTGATGCTGCAGAGCTCTGCCTCCCTCTGTTGGCTAGCCATTTAAAACAAGTTGTGTTGACAATGTGTTGGATTAACTGTGGAGCAAAACTGCTAATGATTTAGTGCTTTGTCCAGGGAGAAAAACTATAAGAGAATGAACTGTTTCTTGTGTGTGTGTCTGTGTGTCCCTTTACATGTGTTCATGCAGAAAATGATCTCTGCAACACCTCTAGGTGTGCAGGCGAGTTTCAAAGCTCTCTGTCAAGCAGCATGCAGGAGATTTCGAATGTTCGGATTTAACTTTGATGAAACGTTTTTTTACTAGAAGCATTTCTGCTAATTCAGAATTTTGATTAAAGATTAGGGAAAAATGTAACCGATATATTGTGTTTGTATCCATTGATAGTCACCAGACTTCCAATTAAGCTATAAAACCCTCCTCGGCCATGCATTCACTTGAGGATGCAAAGAAAGTCACGTTTCACATTCAACAGCTGGCAACCATTTTTATTCAATACATATAGGAAATTGTCTTCTTTTCTTAGCATTCAAGCACAATTACTTACAGATAAGTGTCAGTAATCCAGTTAATATCTAACTAGACTAAATGGAATTACATTTGCACAATGCAGTTTCTTACTGACATGGATCACTAGAGGTGGAGGCTTGACAGCATACCCTGTTGTTTGGCTGTGTTCAGATGGATTTTAACAGTTTATAGCCAATCTACATGCTTAAAAACACCTTAAAAGCACAGTAGGTTTGAATTGCACAACTATGAAATGTACTGTAATTGATTTTTTAAATTTACAAATAATCCACAAACGATGGTTTCTGGTTCACATAGATAGACAGACAGATAGTTCCAACATTAACATGCAGCGATGTGGCTTTTCAGTATTTGTGTTTCAGGTGTTGTTGTTTTTTGAAGTACTCCTGTGTGCACAGAGCAAAAACTATCCCACTGTCATTCTGCGGAGATGAAGGGATGACAGCATTTCTGAAAGCGCTGACACCTGCTGACAGATAGATGAGACGACAAGGAAGCGCATCAATCTGAAACAAGAAACGCAGAGAAGGAAGTTCTAATCTGTGCATGTATTTCTTTTCTTTTTTCTTTATTTAGCAGGTTTAAGTTGAGCTTCTTGTTGTTGCTGTTTAGTTATCTCTGATTTGATTATATCCCCACACGCCAATACGTGCATGGGCATAAGCATTTGGACACATGCAGAGAGAGAGGGCAGCGCAGGCCCCTTTAAAGATAGCGTATGCTCAGAGGGCTAAATGTTTTTCACGACCACGTTTGAAGACGAATGATAAGACAAACAGGGTACAGAGACTTGGCAATGTGCCAAAGTGAAGATTAGGACCTAATCTTCAGATGGTTGAATGTGAGAGTAGTGGGGGGAAAAAGCACATCAAAAAAAATATATACTTGATTTATTCAATGTGTCTATTTTTTGGAGACAGTTTGAGGAATTCCTTTTCCTGTTTCATCAAGCCAGCGCCTCAGCGCTACAGAAACAGGGTCTGTAAAGAAAAGGCTAAGCTTTGATCTCAAAGCTTGATCTTTTTTCAAACCAATACGATACCGAGACTGAGTACTTGCCGATACAGAGTACAAAAACCGATACTTCTACCACACACATACAAGTGCATTGAATTGGAAGACAGATCTTATTTTATTCTCTGCCGATAAAAAAATAAAATCTTAATAAAAATGACCACAAACAAACAAACAAACTCCTCGTCAATCCACTGCGCCGTTAAACTGAGGACTGACATCGCGCACACACTGCTTGTCTTTACCTCTTCAGAAAGTTTTAGCACCATTATCTCCCTGATGTATGGCCGGCTGGGAACTTTATATCGCGGCTCGAGTATGCTGAGAAGACGGTGCAATCCTATGTTTTCCACGACCGACAGTGGCTGTCATCCAGAGCAATAAAATGAGTCAGAGCCTCTGTTATTTTAACTGCCTGTGGATTTTTTGTTGCTTTTTCAAAGCCTGAGTTTAAGTTGCCTGTTCTGGTCCACACTGCTGACATTTTGTTTAGCCTAGCTACAGCAGCCTCCAGTTTCTCTTTTTTATCTGGAGCCGCCAGCCTCACTCGCCTAAGTCTGTGCGGTATGTCCCCCTAGTGGCCAATCTAAAAAATTACAACAGAAATGACCAGCCACCCTCTGATAAATGAAATAAGTTGGTATCGGTTAACTTTTACGAGTATGAGTACACACACATTTTACAGTATCGGCCGCGATACCAGTATCGGTATCGGTGCATACGTGTCAAGTATGTAATTTATTGATTCTGCTGTTCCTAAAAAGTACCTGTTGTTTAAAAAAAAATAGCATTAGTATATATTTATTAATACTAGTAATAGCTTATAATATATGCATAAGTAATATATATTAAAATTGAACAAAGAACATTTTTGTTTTCCTTGTTACTTTTATATTAGCTCTTCAAATCTATACTTGCAATTAGTTATATTTCCTGTTTAGCTCTAAAAAAAAAACAAGTCTATTTCACTGGATTTGAAGTTCCTGTTTGATGTTGCTTCAAACTTAAAACCTATTCTTAGTCTATATTTTAGCTCAACAGTAGAAATCAGGGATCTGTGAGTTTGAGCATGGTGCATGACAAAAGTCGATAAAGGCAAGGATCTTTATTCGTTGCACAAACACACAAATGCAATTACTGCCGCGTGATGGTTACTGTCAACACGGACTTTGCACCGAGGAAGACTGAAGGGAGAGGGAGAGCATGTGCAATAAATCTAATAATAGCCAGCAGATGAGTCTATAGGAATGCATTTATCTTATATGTTTAAAATGCTACGTACTTAGTCATTTTCAAGTAAGACCTCCTTATAAATGATAAGGCCTGGATTGTGAAAACTTTGGTCACTTAGTGTCAATTTAAGCAGCCAGCACATAAACAAGGGTTGGAGAACAAAACGAAAGCCAAAAAAAAGCAAAAACTACTATTTTAGTGTTTGCGTGTCCGATGAGAGTTGGAATTTTGTGCTAATTTACTGTAACATGATGTCAGAAGTACTGGAAACTGGAGGTTAGATTTAGAAATGCTTGTTTACCTGCTCTGTCTGTGGCCTGAATTAATGGTATGAAGGGCCATCAAGGGACATTTGCAATGATTTATGATCCCATTAGTTTTGTTTTACAAAATGATCATATGTGCACAAAACAATAGGTTCAGAGTTGGCTTACTTGCATGTTAAGACAGTAATATATTTTTTCCTTGCTGCCGTAAAAGAGATCGGATGCCAAGACAATTCCAGGATGTCGGTGAGTCTCTGGTTTTCTCTCTGTTTAGATTTCTGTTTGAGAGAGAGGGAG